ACTATCACGTCACCATCGATGATTTTTCTCCATGTGATCAATATGTTGACCGTGTTCGCCTGGGCTGCAATACCATTTGTTTATATCATATTTCTTGATTATTGGCGTAACAATCTTGCGCCACGTCTTTTTCGCGAACTTCGACTTTTCTTGACGCTTCATTAAAAACTAGTAAATGTAAAATGTCTCAATATCTCTGTCACGTTTACGACATTCTAATTTGGTTTTTGGATTGGAAAGTGAAAGACAATCTCTACGGCATTACATTCAGATGGTTTATCCAGCTTCTGTCTTCATCACAGGAACGGATAGAGGCATTGGACTTGGTTTGGTACGAGAATTTCTCAAGGTGAATTCAGTGAAGCATGTTATAGCTGGAGCATTGAATCCGGATAGTGCAAAGGTTGTTTCCTCTTTAGTTTAAGTTATTCTTTCTATAAAATAAAGCTTTCTAGAAAATCTTCCTATCACTTATACATCACTTGGGCAAATTTCGCGAAATTTTCGTTAAAACGCCTTTCAATCTTAATATCTGGTCTTAATGTCTCTGCAACTTAGGATCTAGAAGCCATTACCGATAACCGTCTGCATATTGTCAAAATTGACATTGAAAATGACCAATCGATCAAGGACGCTTGTGCTCAGGTAAGTCTAAACATATTGACATTTCCTGAAGTTATAAACTGATACAGTCACGGGCGCGGTTGAGGCAGATAATCAATTGCGGTGCCATCTTTTTTCAGGTTGAGAAGATCGTTGGCGACAGTGGTTTGAATCTTCTGGTAAACAACGCTGGCGTTCTACCCCCTTACTTCACAAATGGAGAAATTAGTCGAGAAACGCTATGGAAATGTTTGAATGTAAATGTATTGGGTACCACAATCACCAGTCAGGTTTGTAAATCTTCTTCAATTTCAAGAGCCATCTTATTATATTCTCTTATATAGGTATTTATTATCGAATTTTGAAATTTCTAAAGGAAACTTTTCTTTAGACTTTTCTGCCTTTGCTGAAGAAAGCCTCTGCTCATCACTCTAGCGATTACTGGGGTATTGATCGAGCTGCCATTG